GAGGAAGGGGAGAAGGGAGAAGCTGGTGGAGGAGGAAGGGGAGAAGGGAGGTGGTGGAGGAGGGGGAGAAGCTGTGGAGGAGGAGGGGGAGAAGCTGGTAGAGAAGGAGGGGAGAAGCTGGTGGAGAAGGAGGAAGGGGAGAAGGGAGCTGGTGGAGGAGGGAAGAAGGTAGAAGCTGGTGGAGAAGGAGGGGAGGGAGAAGCTGGTGGAGAATAAGGAAGGGGAGAAGGGAGAAGCTGGTGGAGAAGGGAGAAGCTGGTGAAGGAGGAAGGGAAGAAGGGAGGTGGTGGAGGAGGGGGAGTAGCTGGTGGAAAAGGAGGTGGGGAAAAGCTGGTGGAGAAGGAGGAAGGGGAGAAGGAGGAGAGAGAAGGGAGGCTGGTGGACGGAGGGAGAAGGGAGAAGGCTGTGAAGAAAGGGAGGGGAGAAGGGAGGTGGTTGGTAGGCAGGGGGAGAAGGCTGGTGAGAAGGAGGAGGGGAAGAGGGAGAAGCTGGTGGAGAAGGAGGAAGGGAGAAGGAGGGGGAGAAGGGAGCTGGTGGAGGAGGAGGGGGAGAAGGGAGAAGCTGGTGGAGAAGGAAGGAAAGAAGGAGGGGGAGAAGCTGGTGGAGAAATGAGGAAGGGAAGAAGAGAGAAGCTGGTGAGGAGGAAGGGGAGAAAGGAGAAGGTGGGTAGAGGAGGGGGAGAAGCTGGTGAGAATGAGGAAGGGGAAAAAGGGAGAAGCGGTGGTGGAGAAGGAGGAGGGGAGAAGCTGGTGGAGAAGGAGGAAGGGGAGAAGGTGCTGGAGAAGGAGGAATTAGGGGAGAAAGGAGAAGCTGGTGGAATAGGAAGGGGAGTAAGCTGGTGGAAGAGGAGAAAAGGGGAAGAAGGGAGAAGGTTGGTGGAGGAGAGGAGAAGCTGGTGGAGATAGGAGGAGGTTGAGAAGGCTGGTGAGAAAGAGGAAGGAGAGCCGAAGAGGGGAGAAAGCTGGTGAGAATGAAGGAAGGAGAGAAGGGAGAAAAGCTGGTGGACGGAAGGAAGGGGGGGATAAGGGAGAAGCTGGCCTTGGAAAGGAGGAGGGGAGAAGGCTAGTGGAGAAGGAGGAAATGGGAGAACGGGAGAAGGTGGTGGAGAGGACGAAGGGATATCAACAGACTCACGCAATACAGCGCACTGAGCCTGACTGATTATTAGCCACTCCTTGAATAGCGTTAACCTAAACTGCTCCGGCATATGGGGCGTATAGTTAGTGTAGGCGAGGCGGGAACGTAACGACTGTGTCATACCCAGTTAAACGAGCTCTAAAATGCACAGTGAAGACCTGGCTGCATCAGCCGAACACTTGGCTGAGCCAGATAAAAATCAAGGAGTAAAATAATAACAAAATTATTAGATACTCCTGATAAAAATGTTCATATAACCGGGTGTTCAGCTATAAATGGTTGGTGGAGTGGGGTGCGTGTGATGTTAGCATTTAGACCTGTCGTCCTAGCTGGCGCAGGCTATTGCTTGTGCGTTGGTGCGGGTTTTCCGACTGAATGCCGAAGTTCTTCGGGCACATAACATTTTTAGAAAAAATTGCCTCCAAAAGTCAGCTTTAGCGATTGGAAAAATCGCGGTCTCTAACGTAGGGGCGGAAGTATGTCGCGACGCCGCCAGAAGAGGCCCCAGCTCGATTCGCGTGAGCACACGCGGCAAGGTTTCAGAGGAGATACGGAAAACGACACTTCGGCTCTTTCTACTATTATAGATTAGATGATGCAGTGCATGGCTTCTGTACTCAAATGAAACTGTTCTGTCAGAAAATGTCCACCTACCATGTCAGTACCACCTCAAAGACACATCGGACAAGACAGACTGTGACAAGTTTATTAACGGTTACCAAGTTACAGCCCATTGAAAACATATGGATAACATGTTAAGCCTTGTAAATATACATCTTATGAATGCCTACCAATCAGGAGAACATGGATTTCATAACTGTAAAGATAAAATGTACGATTGCCATTGTCAAAATATATGATTGTTTGGTTTAATTTTCTAAAATAACGAACTTGAACTGACAATCAGTTAATCACATACGCTGATAACATATGAAACACTTTTATGAAGACTATAACAAACGATTGCAGAAAGTTCCTGCATCCTGTAATATTACTTTTAGATAACAAGTCGGCCACATATTAAATATTGATACACAATATTCAAAATAAGAAACTCCATTATAGGTATATAAAGGTTCATGTATAATATCAAGAGCTAATAATACCTATAGGTATTATTAGCTCTTGATATTATGTAATGCTCTATTTATATCACATGCTTCCAGATGCAATTCCATTCTTGCAGAATTGTTCTACTATTATGCATTTTGAGATATTTTGTAAACCAAGTAGGCACCATATAAACGGTAACCAGAGCATTTTTCTACAAATAATATGTAAGTCTCGATATATCCTGCCAGTCATCACATTAGAAATGCACTGGAATCATAATCAACTGTATATAACAGATAATGCACAAGAATGTTCGTCTGTTTGTAGGAGGGATGAGCATATGGTTGAAACCTGCCTTATTAAGAATACACTAAAGGTTTAATGTGAAATTTCACAGATTTTTCATTTTCAGTCTTATTTGATGGCTAACACCAGGTGTCACCTCTGTACATACTTATTTCTTGTAATGTAAAAAATGTATGTGAGCTATCAGAGCGTTTTGATTGTGATTGGGGGTGTCTATATTCAAGCTGGTACGGGAGATTACGGTACGCATATATTTGCTAATATATTGACTAATCGTGCATCAATAAACTCAACATTCACAGAAAATATAGCTAAGACATGTGTTTATAGGTATCTAGAATATATTATGCAAATGATCTCCCGTACCGGCTTGAATTTATACTCTGTGAATATTGAGTTTATTGACACACGATTAGTCAATATAGCAAATATATGCGCGCGGAAGTGAATTACAGATAATTAAATTTCTAAAATTCTAGATACCTATAGACACATGTCTTAGCTATACTCTCTGTGAATATTGAGTTTATTGACGCATGATTAGTCAATATATTAGCAAATATATGCGTACCGTCATCTCGTCCCACGTACGTGTGCAGTGAGCTGTGGCCCTTTAAACACATTTAATGGTGATGTCAGAGACGTGATCCAACCAGCCTAGCCTGTTCACGGTATTTATTATACCAGAATCTAGCAACCACAACCCTCCTACAGCCGTCAACTGCCAGTGATAGTTAAAATTGCAGGGCGGTTGAAAATAACATGTATACCTTGATACCACGGCCCAGGCTCGTTGACACGCATGCAGTACGCAGTGCTCTCACGTTTCCCATCAAATTGCGAGTGGTACCTTTCACACTTTTTGTGGTAATTGCGAAATATCCAAAATACTGCTTTCTACATAGAAATTCAGTCTTCACGAATGAAATTTCTAAACACTGGACCGAACTAAATTTTACTGGACTAATATTATTTTTCCATTTTTGACAATAAAGAACAAAATAGTAATATCATTTTGTATTTTATTCTCTCATATTAAAATATGCCAGCATATTGAAAACGTTGTCGTTAGACATCTCCATGTCTGTGTCATCATCGTCACCATCACTGACATAGTCTTCCGACTCTGAAACGTCTGAGTCTTCAGTCACGGCAGCCTCACTTTGACAAACAGATGTTGATTTTGCTGACTGAATTGTTGCTTTTTTTCATCAAAATGTCTAAGAAACGACATTTTCGGTGTTGTGCATTGCATTAACTTCGACCGGAAACGTTTTTGAGTCGGGTTTAAAACGCGGTCACTTTTAATTCCTTGTCCCAAACGCGGAATATATTAACTTTATGAACCGGTACTTCGAACAAAAAGCTGGAATAATAAACGAAACAAGGCAAACTTTGTTTTACATGGATTAGTTTTGTTTAAAATTTACAAATTCATTACACATGTGTTCAGAACGCCGTATTATTATTAATGATCCATTTGCTTTTAGGACCGCATTTTACATGACGCAATGCCATAAATTAGCCTGGTACTCGCTCCCACCTCTCGGCTTAGTTGCTCGTTGGGCGACTTAGTTGCCCAACGAACAACTAAGCCGAGAGGTGGGAGCGAGTACCAGTCTATGCCATAAATTTGAACGGACGTGCGCAGGCTATATGCGCAGTCGTTGATCAAAGTGACGTTTGGTTAGCGATGAAACAAAGTTTAAAAAGTGTTATTTATACAGTAAGTAGTCTCATAAATACTTTGATAAATACTTTAGATACTGTAACTAGAGTGGCTGAAAAAAACTGGTGGACCGACGATCCGTTTAACTTGTTAAATTTACTGGACTGAGAGAGATTTTGGCTAACAGCCTAACGGGAGAAGACATATAAATTTGCATCGTCACATAATTAGGTGCTAGAAATTTCATGAAGTTTTTCAGCTTAAGCATAGAGATACATCTTATCTGTAAATAAAACGCGTGATTAAATAGATTCCTTGGTTAAAGGAATAATAGGTCCATTGATTATGCAATGTTGACGAATGCTAGAGTAACAGGCACCTTGTGTAGTTAAAGGAATAATATGGCCATTGATTATGCAATGTTGACGAATGCTAGAGTAACAGGCACCTTGTGTAGTTAATAAGTACATTACCTTATAGCCAAACGCGTATTAGTTTGTCCAATCAGTTGTTTACAGTTTCAAACCGCTGCCGGCGAAGCGGGTGTGATACAGATTTATAGTGCACCAGACATTTTCGCACGCATGCTCGGCCGTACGCAATGCTATCATCAGTGATTTCGTAAACATGGACGCTCGTGATAAGGAACTTTTTGTCAAGGCTGTCCACGTGCGTCCGTGATTAGTACGTGTGTTTTACTCTATTTCCATGTTTAGTCCGTGGCCGTGGTTACACCGCTGACACCTCTGTTTCATCTGGCGTCCAAAACATACAGGCCGCACAAATGTTTATGTCATCGCTTGACTCCTGGATGACATTTACAGCACGTAAATGATACGTTGATACATATCAACAACCGATTTCAAGTTTTGTTTGTAATGTAACCAGCAGTGATATTGGACAAACTAAAACGCGTTTGGCTAGAAGGTAATATACTTATTAACTACACAAGGTGCCAGTTACTCTAGCATTCGTCAACATTGCATAACCAATGTACCTATTATTCCTTTAATAAACATTTACTCTTCATTAGAGCAATACCCATGCATAAGCTCGAGTGTATCTTTAAATGCATAGTTCAATTTACAGTACTCACAGTTTAGTATCAGAACATAAAGTAGTTGTGGTTGTGCTTAGTTGATGCCTAATCCTAACTATAATCACAACTGCTGGAATTTCAGTTGCTAAGCTGTGAGTTTTCATATTTAATTTATATTACACTCGTCGAAGATTCTATGAATGTTTCTATAAAGGCTCATGTCTGTGTGTGTGTTAAACCACGTCAAACATTGAGGACTTCCGACTCTTATAGCTACTTGATCTGCTGGTAGTTTTAGGTGAGTCGTGCAAGTTTGCCTTTCAGCCATTCCTCTGTTAACTCTTCAACACTTCTTAACTCAAAGACCTGCAGCACGGAACACAACATTACCGTCTGTAAAGGAAACAACTATACGGTGGAAAACTTAACTGCATATCCCCCCTCTTTCAGGACATTTCTATAAAGAGAGGTATATATTGATATTTCTTACACCAGAAGACAGGATTAAATCTGCTGTACAAGGTGTACATTGTGAGGACACAGTGAGATCTTCCTACAGAGTTATGATGATGATAAAATCTGCTCTACGCATTGCTCTTTATTCGTGCCTACCTTTGTAAGCTGAGCCTCACTGACAATGGCAGTCCTTGTACCAGCATACATCATCATCAGCTCTGGTTTGCAACCTGCAGAAAACAATGCAATGACAAAATTACAAACATTAGTGACCTCTCATTACACCCAAATCGGTACAACTTTAAACAGATAAGAATTCTGTATGTAGAGTTTACAAAACGTTCAACAAATAATATAATTTGATACCAAATTAAAACTAAATCATTATAAAATACAGCAGTAAATGAGATTGCTAGAAATATCTGAAGGAATGTAACCTGCTGCAGGAAAGCCAGAAATCCCTCATTACTTAACAAACGGAAATAGGCAATTTTAGTTGGGACCAACGGTCCTGCCACCTAGACAAAACTATGCATGCACAATTGCTCACCAGAGGGACTGATAAAGATGAAGCACATCGGGTAAGCCACTCTGCCATCGCCTAGCTCATTACGATAGATGAACAGCACGTAGCGTGGCTGGTGCTCTGGTAGCGCCTCCTGGAGCTCCTCAATGGAACAATTCTGCAATCACATCACGTGATCGATCAGCTTAGCCATGTTCGCGTGTCTGTTATCGGTTATTTATGTCAAGCTCAGTATTTGAACCACGCTTCATAAAATTAATGCACTACTAATCGAATCTCTTTATTCATTACTCCTACATATTACTTACTATACAAGTCTGTTCACATAGAATTGGTAGTGCATAATAAATCATTTATGTACGCCTGATACAATAAGCAAAAGCAGTTAAATGGGCAATAAGCATTTTATTCGATATCTTGGTTCAACAGTTTTTGATCGGCTACTGTTTCTAGACTGTACCTCAAGCTCTTCATCCAGTTTTACCACCATTGTCGCTCTGTCAATTTTCACTAAGACAAAATGAAACTATTATTAATCATTATCCACTCTTGATTATATCTATATTGACAAACAGTTTACAAATTGGCAAGCTAAGCTGTAGCTTGTGCTACAACAGAAAAACATGCTAACCGGCAACATAAATGTCCTGACTTTAGCCTTCCATCTTCAAATTAAACTAAACTCATTGAAATTTGGCCAGATTGATCCATTTATTAAATGCAACTAAACAAAAAGTAAGCACTCACTAAGTATGCATCTATGTCTGACTTAAATAGCAGCAGTGCTACTGAGTGAGCATCGGGTAGCTTGCCATGTTGTAAAGATTCACTGCCATTTTCTCAGCACTATGGGCAATACAGCCCTGTAGACGTAACAAAGGACTACACATGTAGAAAGCTACATGAGCTTCTGGTCGTTTTTACATGTGAAAAAGATGGGCAAGTTTAGCAAATATGCTTGCTGTAGAAGATAATCAAATTAGCTCAAGGGTTACTGGGCCTTATATAAGTTCACATTATCATCTTTTAGTTGAAAGGTTCACAAGTTGATCAAGCTTTTATCTTTCTATCAGGCTTTCTATTATATGTTCAGTGCATTTACACCGACCTTTCAATTTGAACGTGTGCATTCTTCGATATATAAATTTTTGCGAGGTATAGCGAGTATGCCACCAATAGCAGAAATATGTGCGTAAATGACTTGACTGTGGACTCAATATTACAATGGAGGAGAAAGTGCTACTGATCCTCCTCATTGCTTTGCTTCATAAAAAAAGAAAAAAGAAATATCAGAGGATGAAACAGTGTGTCGGAATGCGATTGGATACATTGTAGCTTTCTACATGTTCTACAGCCATTATAACCGTTGGTTTTCTTTAACTCAATGCAGGGGATGCCATTAGTTACAAAAATAATACATATCTAAAAATAATACGTAAAATAATATATGTACAGTAGTATGTGCGGGCGGGCCATCATGATCCTGCAGCCAGTGCAATTAATCTCTACGTTATGTATTGAACCTGTTGGCCTATGTATATGATAAACATGGTCGTTGTAGTGCAGAGTGTGATCGATATGCGCCATTTACTTTCCTACCGAATGCATTCGTCTCTACATTTCCCACCTTGGTAAAAGCCACGAAAATGTGTGAAATGTGTGAAATGTGTGAGCTTTATTTTAGGAGGTGCATGGCAAAAAGTTGAGATATTAGAACATGTTCTATTCCCCTAACTAGTTGAGCTCTCAACCTTTCTCGGTTTCTGCTTTAATGTGTTTAGTAGTTTACACCGACACTGTCGACATTTAGCCAAAAAGTTCAATTCACTCAAGTCTGCAACTGAAGGTTTATAGTGTAAACCCAGCTTTACACACCAAGCTTTACACTAGAGTAGTGCAATCCATGACACCTGCATTTTTAATGAAAACAAAACATCTTAGCAGTTGTCTACTTGTTATATAAATCTGATGCAACTTACTGATTATCGCAGCATTTTCTTTAGTTTGCCTAAATCGAAACTTCTTTATCACAGTCAGCAGGTCCGGGTCAATATCGCATACTGAATTTGCCTAGAATGGACATGCAAAGCTGAAAATTAGCCATGTTCTAACAACTATTGAAATGGGAATAGGATAATAAATGAATCCACTTAGCACCAATCCACATCCACTTAGCGCAAATCCACTTTAGGTACAGTAGGTATCACAAAGTGATGCACAGATTTCTGTGCATCATCAACTGATGCACAAACTTTCCGTATATCAAGGAATGATGCAAAAACCCTAACCCTAACCCTAAGTCATAAACTATAACCTTAGGTATCACGAAGTGTGTTAGGGTTAGGGTTAGGGTAAGGGTTTT